AGTTATTACAAAATCATGGCTATAATTCCCTGTGTTATACAATATATCCTTTGAGCTTATCTATTTTATACATAGTAGTTTGTATCTATTAATACCCCTAATTTGCCCCTCCCCTCTTCCCTCTCCCCTTTGGTAACCACTAGTTTGTTTTCTATATCTGTGAGTCTGTTTCTGTTTTGCATGTACATTCATTTGTATTATTTTTTAGATTCCACATATAAGTGATATCATATTGTCTTTCTCTGACTTAATTCACTAAGAATAAATATTCTCTAGCTCCATCCACATTGCTGCAAATGGCAGAATTTCATTCTTTTTATGGCTGAGTAATATTCCATTATATACACGCACCACACCTCCTTCATCCATTTGTCTGTGGATGGCACTTGGGTTGCATCCATGTCTTAGCTATTGTAAATAGTGTTGCTATGAACATTGGGGTGCATGTATCATTTCAAATTAGTGTTTTCGTTTTTTTCTGGATATATACCCAGGATCATATGGTAGTTCTGTTTTCAGATTTTGAGGAACCTCCATACTATTTCCCATAATGGCTACACCAATTTACATTCCCACCAACAGTGTACAAGGGTTCCCATTTCTCCACATCCTCTCCGACATTTGTTATTTGTAGACTTTTTCATAATAACCATTCTGACAGGTGTGAAGCACTAGATTCTTTAGCTAGAATCGTACGAGACAATACAGTTGCTTTAGATCATATTGTATATGTAGTGGCCAATAGCTCCTATTATATGTTAATACCACATCAGAAGTTAAAACCTGCTTCGATAAAATTAAGCAACTGGCTACCTGGCTACGCATCTCCCCAGAAATGCCAGGTCCAGACTGGTTTTCAGGCTTAGTCTCCTGAATTCCTCAGGGAATAAGATATATTTTCCAAGGTTTATTAAAGTTTGGGTTTCACTCCATCTCCTACATCTAATTGGGTCTGCTGCACCAGAACGATGGACCAAGGGACTAAGCTTTTAGTCATGCAAGATTCGGGTCCAAGACCTGGAACTTGGGAATGTTCCCAGCTCAGTATGCAACATTTCCACTCCCCAAATTGAGGTGGGAAATAGCCAGAGCAGTCACTGCCCTGTTCCCTCAGAGATTTGGGGAAAGTTAAAACAGGAGTGAGGATTGAAACCAAGTCCCCCTAAAACTGAGTTCCCTTAGTGAGTTTATGATTCATCTCTCTGTCCAAAACTTTATTCCCTTTCTTGCCCACTCTGACCTCAATCCTGAGCCAGCTGAACACTCATCAGCCAGAGTCAGATTGTTGTCAGTAACATCCTTAATGTAATAAAATTGCTGTTGTAGACATCATCATTAACGGACAAACTCAGGTTGTTTCTCCAGGACAAGACGAACTTCAAGACCCCGAGCCATGGACCACCTGGCCAGAAAAATCATAAACCAGAGATATTCTGACTCCTGAAACCATGCTTAAGAAATGTCAGAAGACGAAGATTAATCCCAGCCTCTTTTTTATTCCCCTTTAAAACTTGTCTCCCACTCCCCCGCGTGGCACCCTGCAAATAAACCATTACTTTGCTGCCAACACCCGCTTTCTGTGCCGTGAGCACAGAAGACCCTGCTCGGTTACAGTGGTACAGAGGATGGGGAACAGGGGAAAAGAGGTGGCATGGAGGTAGGAGTGTCAAAGGGAGCTGGGCCAAGAAACATGAGGTAGGAGGAACGCCCCGTGGGAGGGTCCGTGTTGAGAGCAGGCCTTCTCATCTATATGGGCGGGGCCTCTGGCGGAGGCAGGGCTTTTCTGCCTCCAAGACTGGGAAATACCAGCAGCATCAGAAGCCAAAAGGTGGAGTGGAAGTAGGGGGATAAACTTTTTTCTACGTTCCATCCTGTAACTCTCTTGTATTATGACAAGCCTGCTCCCTTTGTTTACACGGCTTATGAAGCAAAGCTTCAGAGGGGTAAGGGACCCATGTAAGTCACACAATGAGTCAAAAAAAGAAAAATGACTCATCAGCTGGGAGCCTCCTGCCCAGTGAGCAGTTGCCCATGAAGCAGCTGATTTAATTTCCTCAGCCAATGACAGAGGGGAGCCCTAGGCGAGGAAGCACTTTCACCAACGGCTCCCACCCTTTCTTCAACATCCGGCCAGATGCTCTCTAGTGCTGACCCCTCCCCTCCACACCTTCACATGACTACTACTCGGCCTCAGTCCCACCTGCTGAAATTAGTGTGTCCTTTATCCACACTCACCTCCAGCTCTCCAATGAAGACTGTGGAACCAAGAGGAAACCAGCTGCCGACCTGAAGACTGAAATTCCTTTCGTTCACCACCTGGTGGAGCTGGCTGTCAGTCAGTGGATGGGAAGGTTTGAGGAATCAATGAAATGAAGGTCAGTACACGAAGGTCCCCGGGTAGCCTAGGATTGGTAGGCCTTTGTGTGTGTGTGTGTGGGGGGGGGTCAGTCAAGAATAGTCTGTAGAGGCCAGTGATGGGAAGGTCCTCGTGGACCACGACGGGTGCAATTCCAAGAGTCAATTATTGGGAGTATGAGGATGTCATGGTTGAAAGCCAGTGGAAAGAGGGCTTTTGAAATGATCAGAATCCAACTATCTCCCCCAGATTATGTTCTTTAAATATTACCCTTCGAATTTAGGTCTTTAACCTATTGAGAATGGATATTGATAAATAATGTGAGGCAGGGATCTAATTTCATCTTTTTCCATATCAATAATCAGTAATTCCAGCACCTTAAAGGGTCTTCCCTCTCCCCTCTTTACATGATTTCAGACCGTGTATTTGTACCTAAAATAAGAATATAAAAAAACCGTACAAAACATACAAAACAGGTTATAGATTCTAGGGGCATAAACCATACTGGTGTTTTGGGTCATAAATCCCACCAAAGTTACTAACGAACCCCCCCCCCACACACACACACACATAATGACTAGTAACTTTACTAACAGGTTGTCTTATACAGAGCAAATATTCAAGGACTGTTTAAATAAGTATCATTTTATTCAAAAATATATTTTCAATCCGCACTTGTCTATAAGTGGACTGTAAGATTTGTAAATTGCAGGGGCCAGGGGCACGCACCACAGCTAATCTCAATTGAAGTAGGTTGCTCACCTGATTATTTAGTCTCTCACCTCTCAACCTACTCTTCCACTGTCTGCTTTGTGATAGTGCAAACCAGATTCTCTTTTGCCAGCTTCACGTTAAGTTCTGCCAACATGGGCCACTAGAGAGAACGGGTAGGCAGAAGGAAAATGGAGATGGGACTTGCCTTTGCCTGTTTGCTTTCTCTTCTTGCTGCAGAGGAAACAGTTGGTTGCTGTTTTAAGTTTTAGTCCACAGTCTTAGAATCATCTTCATTCCACGCCCTCAGGCATTCTAGCATCAGCCAGCCATGTTCTCTCCTCAGAGACTGGAGGAAGAGTTCCATGGCGGGGGAGCAGGGGACCGGGGGTGGGGGGGGTCCATCCTCCAGGCTCCTAATTCCTTGCACCAGTCAGTCATTTGTCCTGTTCAAGCCAGCACAAAGCTTCAAGTGAATGACTGAGGAGCAGTGACTTCTAGCTAAATCACTTCTACATAAAAAACAGGGTGACATTTGTGAGATTTTCTTATCAACCAAGGGCCCTCTTACCATGAGACTGGGTATTCTCAATGGCACTGGAATGCTAGTATAACCTGGGGTCTTTACGAGTCTGTCATTTTTTTTTTAATCTGGGTACAAATTGGAAGGAATAGTACAAATAAAAAAAACTTAAGTGGATGCTTCAGTACAACTTACAGAAAAGGTAAAGGAAAACCCAAAATGGATGCATTGTCATGGTAACCAGGGAAGTCACCCCCAGGGCCGCTGGGAAGCCAGCCTGACGCTTAGCTCTCATCATCAGGGTGAGCCTGTCAGAGACACTCTGCCGTGCCAGATTCGGGGGCCCTCATCACGCACAAGTGGGTTATGTGGTCACCCAATTCTCTGATGTATTTCACCTGCTCATTCAGGTTGTCACACGAGCAGGGGTCATTTTTCACAGTAGGAAATTTGTGCAGTTCCAGTAGTGACTGATTCGTGCCCTTTTCTGAGTGGAACACACATGCCTTGCCTTGAGCCCACTCTCCGAGTCACCCTGTTCTGGCTTCAGGATACACCAAAGATTCGGCCACCTAGCAGGTTCTGCATCTTCATCAGCTTCTCAGCATGTCCCCTCCCCTCACGAGACTGGGGAAGAGAACAACTGGCAAAGTTCTCCAAAGCCACATCATGGCCATCAAAGTAGTGAGACACGGGCAGGTAAATGTCAGAGGCTCCCGGTGGATCTGGAAGTTATTTGTGGCCTCCAAGTCCTGGTGGTAGTGCTGGGGCACCTGTGAGGGGGACGTGGTAGTCACAGCAGTCACACTACTCCCACTCGCCTTGGGAGTGGTCCAAGGGTGCTGTGAGGAGGAGGCAGAAGGCTGGCTCTGCACGGCCAGGTTGAGGGGGTGGGGTGGCGAGCGCCAGCTTCTGTTCAAGCGCTGTTTAAGCAGGAAACCATGGCAACTCTCGGCAAAGAATGTCTTTTTCCCTGAAAATCATTATTCTGGTAGGCTGGCTCTAAGAAGGCCCTCAAAGATTCTCAACTCTCCCCTTGAGTGTGGGCTGGCCTAGGAACTTGCTTCTAAGAGAATACGGCAAAGATGATAGAAGATTTAGATATAATAGGTACAATGTGACATGGACTATAAACCATCTTCAAATGAGTTATGGCGTCATTCCCGAGCAATGAGAAAGAGTTCAAGACATTCTCTATCAAAATACACATTAAGGGGGCTTCCCTGGTGGCACAGTGGTTGAGAGTCCGCCTGCCGATGCAGGGGACGCGGGTTTGTGCCCCGGTCCGGGAAGATCCCACATGCCGCGGAGCGGCTAGGCCCGTGAGTCATGGCCGCTGAGCCTGCGCGTCTGGAGCCTGTGCTCCACAATGGGAGAGGCCACAACAGTGAGAGGCCCGCGTACAGCCAAAAAAAAAAAAAAAAAAAAAATACACATTAAGGGTGTTAATCTGATGCAAAACGACGGTAGACTTACGTCAACAAGTTTCCAAATTTCCATTGCAATCACCAGCTTATCTCCTTTGTGAGATCTCTGCCATTCTGCTAAAGGTTCAACACATTTGGTGTATCCATAGCCGTTCCTTATTTCCGACACATGATGAGGAACCATGTTACTGAAAACCTTGTCCTATTCACTGCTGTGCAAATTAGGGGCTGACTCGGCAAGTTTGGGGTGTTCAGACCCTGCACGTTCCAATGGAAGGAATGACCCTTGACTGGCACCTGAGAAGGAACCTCTAAGCCCTTGGAATATCCTGCCTGCCAGGAGCATCTTTGTACACCTGGGGTTTCGGCCATGCCATATAGTTTACATTAGCAATATGATTTTTGGTGAACGCCTGCTTTTGTTTGCCTGGGGCTCTGGGCCATTGTGTATCAGTTTGATCCTTAGGAGGCTGGAGTTTGAGAAGTTAAGGTCAGTCATGTGGTTTCTCCATGCCTCCATAACTAACCCCTTTACTGCCCCTCCCACCCCCTGGCACTAAGGCTCAGGTGAGTTTCTCTGGTTGGCACTATGCCATATGTGTTGTCAGGTCATTGCTGGAAGAATTAAACACTGTCCATACAACTCCACTGCGAGTACAAGTGGATGCACCTGGTTTCTCCTAAAGTCTGCCTCATGCACCTTTTACATTTGTTAATTTTAATTTGTAACTCTTCACTGTCATAAACTGTAACAGTAAGTACAGCAGCTTTTATGAGTTTAGTGACTGCTTTTAGAGAATAATCAAATGTGAGGGTGGTCTTAGGGACTTGATACAACTGCCTTCCTAAAATTTTTTTCTGATGTGAATTTATTGATGATTTTGAAGTCAAGCTCGTTACAATTCAACCTACTTAGAGCCATTGATACTTAATGAGGTGTATCTTCCCATTATCACTACATTCATTAGCATTCTCTCAGTGAAAGTTTTCAACTATATAAAAAGCTAAAACTTTGATCTACAAGCTTTTCCACACTGAACGTACCAAATCTTCCCTACACATTTCCTGTGACATAAAATAAGACATAATTGGTAACTGAAGGCACTACCACATTTACTGCATTCATGAGGTTTCTCTCCTGTACAAATTCTCTGTTATTACCTGAGGGTACACATCTGGCAACAGGCTGTCCCACAAGGACTACATTCCCTTGGGCTAGGAACCCACTGATATTTAATGATGTCTGCATGGCCACAGAAGGCCCTTGCACTGTCATTGTTTCAACAGAGTTTTTTTCCTGTACGGGTTCTGTGGTGCATAATGAGCTGTGGTTCCCAAGAAAATCATTCTCCATCTTGACTGAATCCACATATTTCTCTTTCATATGAGTTTTCTTATGTTTAGTGAGGGAGGACTTGTGGCAGAAGGCTTTCCCACAATTGCTGCATCCATGGGGTTTCTCTCCTGTATGAACTCTCTGATGTCTACTGAGTATTGACTTAGTGGAGTAGCCTTTCCCACATACGTTGCATTTATAGCGTTTCTCTTCTGTATGACCTCTTTGATGTCTAATGAGACTCGACTTTTGAAAGTAAGCTCTTCCACATTCACTGCATACATAGGGAGGATTTCCAGTGTGAAATACCTGATGTGCAACGAGACATGGCTTATGACTGAAGGCTTTACCACATTCCTTGCATCCATAGGGCTTCTCTCCAGTATGAATTCGCTGATGTATAAGAAAATTACCCTTCTGGATGAAGCCTCTTCCACATTCACTGCATGTATAGGGTTTCTCTCCCGTATGAGTTTTCTGATGTACAAGGAGCTGAGATTTCCTGGAGAAGGTTTTCCCACACTCACTACATGCATGGGGTTTTATTCCTCTTTCCACTTGCATATGTATATTGAGCTCTGCTTTCCTACAGAAGGCTTTACCACATTTAAGGCATTTATATGGTTTCTCTCCTGTATGAGTTCTCTGATGTACAGTGAGTTGAGACTTTTTGATGAAGGTTTTACCACATTCAATACACTCATGTTTCTTTCGTTTTTCAGTTTGATGTATACTGAGTTTCGAATTGGTGCAGATGGTGTTTCCATATTTATTGCATTTAACTCCAGTGTAACGTTTTTCATGCTTAGTACGAAGAAACGATTTCTCATATTTATTAAACTTGTCAGGATTCTTCGCTACACAGCTTTTATTCTGGTTAACTAAATCTAAATTAGAGTTCAGTACATCAAACTTATCATGGCTTTGCCTTAAAGTAACAAGATTTCTGCGCAGATGAAACACATTTCCCGATGAACTGTGTTCACGGCCTCTTTCCATATTTTTACGCTTGTTTTGGATTTCCAAAGACCACTGCATATGATCACCAATTTCTCCAACTTCTAGAAAGAAAATTAATTCTTTCATAATTAGGTTATGGTAGTAAAACTGCTTCTAAATCAGGTAATAAAACTGCTTCTAAAATGCCACGGTTTGGGCTGGCTTTTTGTGACAATTCTGTCATATGAAGGAAACCATCAAGTGTAAATTTACTTCTTGAATATGAGAGGAAACACAATGAAATAAAGCCATAACATCTTAAAAAAAAAACCCAGCTGATTCAGAATCAATGGTAGACAATTCTCAATTAGTAAAGTTTTTGCTGCTCTCCAAATAGATCCTCACAAAATGGGCAAAGAGGATGAAGTAGAAATGTGTCTCATTAACATAAGATAAAGTATGCTGGAGAGACATCTGATCTAGCATGATGGAGGACATAGCCATTCATTCCCCCAATGCTTATCGAATGTCTCCTATGTATCATTCACTGTCCTAGCACTTGAATACAAATGCATCCCACTAGGCAAAAGAGAACAAAATGGAAGCAAAGAAATAAGACAACTTCAGACTGAAAACTGGTTCCTGGCATATGAAAAAGAACAGTGGGAGTTGGTCAACTTTAAATAGGTAAACACCTGTGAGAAAATAAAAGTTGAGCCAAGAAACCAGGAATAAAGAATAAGCAACCTCATGTAAAGAACTGCAAGTTTTCATTCAAGTACAATAGCAATGCAAAAGCCCTGAGACAGGAAAGGTTTTGGCCAAGTCAAGAAATAGAAAGGTAGCCAGTAGGCCCTGAGTGGAATAGCTATATAGGGAGAAGGAAGTGTTGAAGTTCAAAAGGTAGACAGAAGGCATATCACGTAGATCTGGTAGGAAGAAGCTGAATTTGACGCTAAGACTAGTGGCAAGCCACTGGAAGTTTTGAGAAGGTGGGGGGTTCTGATTTATATTTCCAAGAGGTTGCCAACTGCTACATGGATAGTGATGGGAGAGGAAGGAGTGTAGGAGAGAGGAAGTTAATGAAGTAATCCAGGGAAGAGATAATGGTGGCTTGGTGTGGAGCAACAATAGTGTATATGTGGAGAAGCGGATGAACTCAAGGTACATCTAGGAGAAGGAAAAAACAACATTCAGTGTTGAATTCAATGTAAGTAAAAGGGAGGAATCAAGGGTTTTCCCTAGGTGTTTGGCTTAAATGACTAGACGTACCAGCTAAGTTGTTGAGGAACATCAGGGAGACAGGTTTTGAATGTGGGAAAATCAGGTGTGTATTTTGACATAAACATTTTGAGATGGATATCTTGGTGCAGACATGAAGAACTCAACTGGAGAGAGGAATTTGGAGAAGACTTAGGCTAGAGGACAAATTTGGGATTATCTGTACAGGCATACCTTGGAGATATTCCAGGTTCAGTTCCAGACCACCACGATAAAGCAAATAGTGCAATAAAGCTAGTTACGTGAATTTTTTTGTTTCCCAGTGCATATAAAAGTTATATTTAGGGCTTCCCTGGTGGCGCAGTGGTTGAGAGTCCGCCTACCAATGCAGGGGACATGGGTTCGTGTCCCGGTCTGGGAAGATCCCACATGCTGCGGAGCGGCTGGGCCCGTGAGCCATGGCCGCTGAGCCTGCGCGTCCGGAGCCTGTGCTCCGCAACGGGAGAGGCCACAACAGTGAGGGGCCCGCGTACCGCAAAAAAAAAAAAAAAAAAAGTTATGTTTACACAATACTGTAGTCTATTAAGTGTGCAATAGCACTGTGTCTAAAACACTGTACATAGTGTACACAGTGTACACTTAATTTAAAAATACTTTCTCACTAAAAAATGCTAACCATCATCTGAGCCTTCAGCAAGTCATAAAAGTAACATCCAAGATCACTGATTACAAATCACCATAACAAATATAATAAAAGTTTGAAATATAGAGAGAATTACGAAAATGTGATGCAGACACAAAGTGAGCAAACGCTGTTGGGAAAAATGGTGCTGATAGACTTGCTTGACACGGGGCTGCCAAAAACCTTCAATTTGTTTGGTTTGGTTTGGTTTGGTTTGGTTTCACCATGAGGCTTGCGGGACCTTACTTCCCCGACCAGGGATCGAACCCGTGCCCCCTGTGGTGGAAGTGCAAAGTCCTAACCTCTGGACCACCAAGGAATTCCCCACAAACCTTCAGTTGCAAAAAGCACGCTATCTGCGAAGTACGATAAAGCAAAGCGCAATAAAATGAGCTGTGCCTGTACAGACATTCCCAGACGGGGAACTACCAGGCCGTCCAGCGGTTAGGACTCGGCACTTCCACTGCCAGGGCTGGGTTCAGTCCCTGGTCGGGGGACTGAACCTGCAAGCTGTGCGGCGTGGCCAAAACAAACAAACAAACACAAACATAAGCCAGATCCTGTCACTCTTCTGTCCCAAACCATTCAATAACTGTCATTCTGAAAAAAAATCCTAAGTCCTTAAAATGGCCTGCAGTGCCCTGCATCGTGTGGGCCCCTTTCTCACCTCATGAGTATCACTTCCACTCTTGATCGCTCTGCTCTCCCCACACAGGCTTCCTGGACAGTCCTCAAACACGCCAGGTACACCTCTGCCTCAGGACCACCACTGCTGGTACACTTTTCCCAGGCCTACCCATGGATCATCCCTCACTCCACTCAGCCACCCTAGCAGAGCAGAGAGGCATTCCCTGTCCCTTGTGTATAAAACATCATGCCCTCCTATTGCTTGACATTCACTACCCCTTACATTGTTCTCCATGGTTCTAATTACCACCAGAAAAATCTGTATATTTCTTGTGTACCTCCCCCACTTAGAATGCAAGTTCTGTGAGAGTAATAACTTAGTCCCTTTTATTCTCTGCTGTAGCCACATAATATAAAGCACACTACATAGCCGCATGTATTAGGCATTAAAAATACTTGTTGAGGGAATGAATCAATGAAACAATCATACGTGTAGCGGGCATTGTAGAGACTGGTTTAAATGAAGCTGACTTTGAATTTAGGGAATGGAAAGAAAATTCTATGTAAGCATCACATTGTATCTTGCAGTCCCTTGATCACAGAGGGATTTAAATATCCCATAGTTGGTAGTAGGGTTATAACTAGAATTGTTTAGACTCGGGAAATTAAACTGAGAGTAACTAAGATGAATCAAGATAAATACGTCATCCAGCAAATATACAGAGAAATCAGCAAAGTATGCATGAGGTTTATGGCTTGATTTCAGGTGGGGTCTAAGGTTGTGAATTTTCTGTTTTTGTTTTTTTATTTGAGTGAATTCCTTTATTTCAGTGTATGTGGGAGGCATAATTCACTTTGAAAATCACAATACTTATAGCTCTTCCCTTACCATTTTACTATAAAAATTTTCAAACAGACAAACAAATTGAAAGAATTACACAGTGAACAGCCATATATCCACCTCTTTTGATTCTATAGTTAATGTTTTGCTACATTTGCTTTAGCTCATATTTGCCCAGTCAGAATAAGGAAACAGACAGATGCACATTAAAAGACCGGGTTACCATGGGAACACAGCACCCTGGGTGGGGCTGAATATTAGGAAGGAAATCAATATTACCCAAGGTTCAGTAGTCAGAAGACGATGGTGAATTTGAAGTTCTCTCTTTGCACAGAGGCGTGGAAGACTGAATTTTCAAAGCAAGGGAAGAGGAAGGAACAAGCAGTGATACTATGGCAGTCAATGAAGAAGGGAAAAATTTGAGAATCCTAAGAAAAATATCTAAGCAAAACAAATCAAGATCCTAGATGAATAAATCAGTATCAAATCCAGGGGTGAGAACACAGGAGTATTTTCCTCTAAATGCTTAAGCAATGAATATTAACATAGGAGAGTAATACTCAGAGGCTCTGTTTAGATACTGTCAAAAGGTTAGAAACCAGAAGATGAGTCACCTCAACACTATTTCAAAGGTGTGAGGCCTCCACAAATCTAGGAATTTACTTCTTTTCTACCTGGATGTTTCTCATTCACTTACCTGGAAAGTTCTGACCGTGGATATTTTCCTTTTCTAACCATGGTTTGTCTCTTTGCTTCAACCTGAAGATTTGAATTGGTTTGGGACTTTGATACCCTATTCACGAAAAATAACAGAATATTTAGGAAAATATCTTTGGGCGTGAGATCTAAACATTGTTAAATGATACCTTTTATAGATTGTGTGACTATACCTTGGAAAAGAGTTTTCCCCTTGGAGTAGGGAAAACATACTCCTCCCTCTATCTGAGGCCTGAGAGGAGACTGAGAATCTGTCACTTATAAAATTCAAGTCTTATGTAGGGGCCAGCAAACTATGGTCCGTGGCTGTAACTAAGGCATTTTTTTTACACTTTAAAAGCATTATTAATTCAGAATAAGGTGCTCTTACAAAACAGAGTATTCGAAAAGTGAGGGCAAACTTCTAACACATGATAGCAAAAGTGTTTTGTACCATTAAATTTGAAAAATTAAAACCATTTAAAAATATTTATCTCACTGATGTTTCATCCTTTTGATGTTTCTATTTTTAAGTATATTTTATAGTGCATATAATAAATTTAGTAGAATACTTATATAATTGATAAATAAAAATATGTGTGTGCTGAAAAAACAAATAAAATAAAATAAAAGTGTTATTTAAGAAAAACCAGAATATAATTACAGAGACAGTAAGTAGCCCGAACAGCCTGCAGTGTTTACTATCTGGCCCTTTGCAGAAAAAGTTTGACAATCTCTCTTACATTATTCACACTTCAGATACCTGCCCCCAAATCACTGCACAACTGAGAAAGGAAAGACTGCTGATTGGGCACCCTGAGTGGCACAGGGAAGCAGTTCTTACCCACGGACAGCAGGTTGCTATAGTTTTCTAGCATCACATTCTGGTACAGGTCCTTCTGAGCAGGGTCTAGTAGCCTCCACTCCTCCCGGGTGAACTCCACAGCTACATCTTCAAATAATAATGATTCCTGTAGTAATGAATTCTTCTTTAATCTGGGGTGATCATTTGATGGTTTGGAAGAGAAGTATAGAAGTCTACTCTAATCATTTCTACTGCGTAGGTTGTATCTATATAGGTGATTTACATTATATAGTGTGGAAGAATGGAAAGTCTTATACAGATATCCTGCTGCTGTGATTCAGCCACCCACCCCCTCAATAATTCAGAAGGTTTTCTGAAACGCGGTCATTAAAACCTCTTGTTAACCTTGATAGATTTGCTACCTGTGGGCATATGTGCATGCACTGAACTACATGCAGGTGATATCAAAACAAACACATGTATTCTTGCTCTCAAGAAGCCTTCACTGTGCACAAGTTAAACAGAAACAATAAGCACTAGAATTAAACATGAAAAACCTGATGATGCTATTGTAAGACACAGAATATAAACAAAGTTTAATATATGCAAAGGCATAACACAGTCTCAAAGATGAGTGAGCTAACTTGAAGAAACAAAGATGAATTCTCAAAACAAGAAATACAGTAATTGAAATTAGGAATTTCAATTTATAGATTGACTACCAATTTGATACGACATAGAGAGAATGGTGAACTAGACAACAGATCTGAAGTGCAAAAGACAATGATGGAAAATACAAAAGCGAGGTTGAGAGATATGAAGGGTAGCGTGAGAATGTTGAATTTACACCTATTCTGAGTCTGAGGGAAGAATAGAAAATATGAGGGAAGGTAATAACCAAAGATGTAAGGGCAGAGACTATTTTAGAGCTGGTAAAAGACACACAACCTCAGGATGAGAGAACCCCACAATTTCAAGCAGGATCAGGAAAAAGAGATCCACTCCTAGACACATGGAAGTAAAACTGCAGAACACCAAAACTCAAAGGGAAAATTCAAAAATATCCAAAGGGAAATGACATATACCTAACAAAAGAACAAATATGATTTATAGCCTCTAAGTTCTCAACAGTAGTGATGGAAGCCTGAAAAGGAATGAAATAGTATTTTCAAAGTGCCAAGTGAAATAACTTTCAATCAAGAATGTTATACTGGGAGTTGCCTTGTGAGCTGCTGCTGCCGCAGACCCTGAGGTCCCACAGCGTGGAGTTGGAGGTCTGGAGGTCCCAGGTCGCAAGGACGTCGCCATGCCTAAAGCACCAAAGGGAAAAAGTGTAGGACAAGAAAAAAAAAGTCATCCATCCATATAGTAGAAAATCAGCTCAAATTACGAGAGAGGCCCACAAACTAGAAAAAAAGGAAAAACTGAAGAATGAAAAGGCATTGCATCTCAGCCTTATTTGTGAAAAACTGCAGCGGTTTCAAAATTATCTTGATCCCCAAAACATAGAATATTCAAAGAGAGACGCTTGTGAATTAACTGAAAGGTATTTAAATCAGTTCAGCAGTGAGCTGGAGCAGATTGAGTTACACAGCAGCATCAAGGCCAGGCAGGGCAGGCAGCACTGCTCCCGAGGGGGTCATCAAGCAGACCATGGAGCGAAAGCGGCAGCAGTACGGGGGCTGCAGCCTTGAGATTCCAGACATCTTATTTTATTAGTTATTTATTTATTTGCGGTACGCGGGCCTCTCACTATTGTGGCCTCTCCCATTGCGGAGCACAGGCTCCGGACGCGCAGGCTCAGCGGCCATGGCTCACGGGCCCAGACGCTCCGTGGCATGTGGGATCTTCCTGGACTGGGGCAGGAACCCGCGTCCCCTGCATCGGCAGGCGGACTCTCAACCACTGTGCCACCAGGGAAGCCCGAGATTCCAGACATTTTAAATGCAGGGAATGGGATTTTGATCTGAAGAAACTGCCAAACATTAAAATGAGAAAAATCTGTGCTAATGATGCGGCGCCTAAGAAGTGTAAGAAGAAAACTGTGACAGCTGTAGACAGAGATTTAGGAGAATTGGACCTGAAAGTTGAATCAACGGACACATACGAGGAACTGACTGCAGTGGCCTAATTGTCTTTACCTGAGTTGAAAATAAATAATTTGAGAACTTCAAGTTACACTTGAATTGATTATGGTAAATAACTGTCTCTACACAAGAATTTGCTGTTTAGCTTATTCTCTTATATGATGAGAATCCCATTTTCAGTTTCAAAAACAGTGTTATGATTTTTACTTAAAAATGAATGTTGCTTTTTGTTTACATTAAGTTGTTAGACTAGGTAGAAATGCTCTGCAAAATCCATTTAATCTGAATTTCTGGGGCTGGGAGAGCAGTATGAATGGGGACAAAAAATGTTGTAATTTTTTTCCTCATGCTTACTTAGAATCACCTAATCTCACGTTTTGGGGAATGGGCAGCAGCTGTTTGCTAGAAGGTTACTGTGGTACTTCTTGAGCAGTGACAATGGCAAAATTGCCTTTTAGTAATATGTTTTACTATTCTTACACATTAAAACTATTTTCTTTCCTTACAAAATAGGGAAAATATGATATGGAATTTATATACATTTATGGGTTGTACATTGCTGTTATTTATTAACTTTGAGCCAGAGTTAGTTAAATGGTTAAAAAAAACAGTAACTATTCTTGTTTTGTTGATCTCCTACACTTAACCTATTATCTTGATAAAGGGGATAAATGATTTCAGGTTAGCTCTTTTGGTTTGTATATTATTTTTTGCTTTCTCATTGTGAAAAGTGATAGGTTTTATTTGTGGAAACAGAACTAAAGATTAGAAAACTAGTTACTTCAATTGTCTTAGTTTTTCTTCTAAGAGATAGGTTAAATTGACATATCATATAACAGTATTTCCAGTATCATGAAAAACATGGATGTGGTTGAATGTTCTTCACAGAACTTGTTAAATGCAAGTATCTTCTGGTCTGTTTTCTAAAGAATGCAATGCAAGAGCATTTGAGTATTTTAAAGGAAAAAAAAAAAGCTGTATGAGGTAACTAGGTTATCAACTAAATCTTGTTAACAGTTTTTTTACTTCAGAAAATTAAAAGTAAAACTTATTTCTATGAAAAAAAAGAATGTTATACTTATTAGTATATCTTAATATTATATATGGATTTCTCCTATTGTTTCTAATAAGCTTGTAGTGATTCTCAGATTTTTCCAAGTATGCAGCCAAATTATCTGTATGGAAAATTTTAAATCCGCTTCTCCAAATTTATATCTCTTTTATCTCTTTCCTTGACTAATATTTCCAAAGAGTGTGGTGTCACTGGACATCCTTGTCTTGTTCCAACTTTAGATATCATATCAAAGACAGATACGGGACTTCCCTGGTTAAGAATCTGCCTGCCAATGCAGGGGACACAGGTATGAGCCCTGGTTGGGGAAGGTCTCACATGCTGCAGAGCAACTAAGCCCACAAGCCACAACTACTGAACCCCGCACACCTAGAGCCCATGCTCCACAACAAGAGAAGCCACCACAATGAGAAGCCCGTGCACCACAACAAAGAGTAGTTCCCGCTTGCCGCAACTAGAGAAAGCCCTCACGCAGCAACATAGACCCAATGCAGCCAAAATTAATTAATTAATTAATTTTTTAAAAACCAAAGAGGCATATGAAAATTTGTGAGAATATTTCAGATTGTCACACTGACCAGATGCCTACTGTATTTAATGGTCAGGGACCAAGGGTGCTATATATCCTGTAAAGCATATGACAGTCCTACACAGGAAGAACTGTCAAGCTCAAAATGTTAATAGTACCCAAAGCCTCCCTCTCATTGAAAAACATAGGTATAGTAAATTATACTGTATCCCAGAATAAAACTGAAAAATATTTAAAGGAATAAAAGTCTATCACTCAACAATGAAAAATTTATAATGCCTGGTACTCAATCAAAATTACCAGATATGCAAAGACAGAAAATATGACTCATACAAAGAGAAAAGATCATCAACAGAAACAAAACCAGAAATGACATACATAATAAAATTAGTAGATAAGAATAGTAAAATACATATTATACATACATATGTTTAAAAAGGTAGAGGAAAGCATGAACGTGATATGGAGTAATATGGAAGATATCAAATAGACCCAATTCCAACTCTAGAAATGTCTGAGATGAACAATATACTCGTTGGATGTGATCAATAGCAGACTAGACACTGCAGAAGAAAAAGATTAGTGAACTTGAAGACACAGGAATAGAAACTATTCATCATGAAACAGAAAAAAGACCTAAAGAGAAACATTTTAAAACAGCCAGAGAGGGGCTCCCGTCGTGGCACAGTGGTTGAGAGTCTGCCTGCCGATGCAGGGGACGTGGGTTCGTGCCCTGGTCTGGGAGGATCCCACATGCCGCGGAGCGGCTGGGCCCGTGAGCCATGGCCGCTGGGCCTGCGCGTCCGGAGCCTGTGCTCCGCAACGGGAGAGGCCACAGCAGTGAGAGGCCCGCGTACCGCAAAAAAAAAAAAAAAAGAAGAAGGCAAAATGAAACCTTCTTCAGGTATGCAAAAGCTAAAGCAAGTCAGCAGCGGCACACATGTACTAGCAAAAATGTTAAAGGATGTCCTTCAGATAGAAATCTAGATCTACCCAAATGAATGAAGGGCTGCAGAAATGAAAAACCTATGAGTAATATAAAATCTTATATTTTTATATACTTTTAGAAGATAACTGATGGTTTAAAGCAATGATAATAATGTATTGTGGGATTTCTAAAATACAAAGTAAAATATAGGACAACAATAGCACAAAGGCTGGTAGAGAAGAAATGGAAGCACACTCTTTTAAGGTTCTTATACCATGAATGAAGTGGTATAATATTACTTGAAGATAGACTGTGATAGATCAATATGTAGAAAGGAGTAGCTTACTACTCACACGAACTAGCACACTAACAATACCAACTAGAAAATGTCTTGCAAAAAACAGATAAAGATTAATATCCCTGAAACCTATTTTTTTTTTAGAGATCAGAAAAAACAAAATCAGCACAAAGGATTTGATTAGGCAATTCACAGAATACAAACAGTTAATAAATACATTAAAATATGTTCAAAGTCACTGATAATAATGCAAGTAAAAATAATAGTAAAACTAGTTCTGATAGCACCTTTTTTTTTTTTTTGCGGTCCGCGGGCCTCTCACTGTTGTGGCCTCTCCCGTTGAGGAGCACAGGCTCCGGACGCGCAGGCTCAGCGGCCATGGCTCACGGGCCCAGCCGCTCTGTGGCATGTGGGATCTTCCCGGACCGGGGCACGAACCCGTGTCCCCTGTATGGGCAGGCGGACTCTCAACCACTGCGCCACCAGGGAAGCCCTGATAGCACTTATTAAATAACAGGCAATGTTCTAAGATATGTCCTACATATCTATATACATATATACATAGATTAGTGGTTCTCAACTGGCCAACAATTATTTTACAACAGCAGACATATGACATTTTAGGTTATCACAACTTGGGGGTGGGAGGGTGCTACTGACACCCAATGGGTACTGACCAGGGAAACTGCTAAATATTCTATCATCTTTGGTTTCCCCTCAACAAAGAATTTGTTGTTCCACCAAAAAAGTCAATAGTGCTGAGGCTGAAACACTCTGATATATATTAACCTATTTAACCTTCAGAATAATCCTTTTATGTAAATTCTATTACAATTCCCATTTTTCAGATGAAGAAAGGACTGCAGATAGGTTAAATAAACAGAATAAGATCGAGCAGGTAATTATAGACCAAGGCAAGATATGAATGAGTGAATCTGACCACAGAATTTGTGCTCTTAAACTAAACACTAGGGGCTTCACGTGGTGGCGCAGTCATTAAGAATCTGCCCGCCAGTGCAGGGGACACGGGTTCAAGCCCTGGTCCGGGAAGATCCCACATTGCCATGAAGCAGTTAAGCCCATGCACCACAACTACTGAGCCTGTGCTCTAGAGCCCACAAGTCACAACTACTGAGCCCACGTGCCACAACTAGTGAAGCCCACGCGCCTAGAGCCCGTACTCCACAATGAGAAGCCACCGCAATGAGAAGCACACGAACCACAACGAAGAGTAGCCCCCGCTCGCCGCAACCAGAGAAAAGCCCACGTGCAGCAATGAAGACCCAACACAGCCAGAAACAATAAATAAATAAAATAAAATAACAAAATAAAATTAATTAATTAAAAAAAACTAAACACTAGGCTCTACAACCTTCAAAAAATGATATAGCTTTTATATTTCAGATTTGTAAGATTTAAAAACGGATACAATATTAAATAATAGCAAGAATGTGGGAAAAATAGAGACTTTCATAAACTCTGAGAGGAAGTGCTGAAGACTTTAAAAAAGGGCAATTTTGTAGCAACCATGAAAAATTTAAGTCCAGGTACCATTTGACTCATAGATTTCCCTTTTAGGAATCTAACCTAAAAAAAATTTCACACATATTCAGAGTGTGTATTGTGAAGAAATTTTATGGCTAAAATGTACTTTTAGGGACTTCCCTGGCAATCCAGTGGTTAAGACTCCATGCTTCCACTGCAGGGAATGAAGATCCCACATGCTGCACGGCGGGCCAAAAAAAAAAAAAGTACCTTTATATAAACAGAGTACATAAATTAAGGCATATACATGCTAGGAAATATCATGCAAACCTAAATGCAATGAAATAGATACATAAATACTTGAATGGAACGTTCTCCAGGACAGGTTGCTATAGGAATAAAGCAAGTAATGTGTTTATTATGATCTCAGTAATGCAAAAATATTTTCACAAAAAATATGTGTATATGCACCTAAGTGTACATAATGTATGTATATCTACGTGCATATAAGTGTTAATAAAAACAGAATTATTTCTCTCCTAAGTGATGAGTAGAGAAGGGTTTGACAGGGCCACTTTCTTCTTTTGCTCTATTTATTTCCATATTGTTTCTGTATATTTCACAAACAAATGATTTGTATATGACTCATTTGATAACAACAAAAGATGATAAAAGTGGAAGGTAGCAGGTTGGATGGTGGCCTCCTAAAAGATATGTCCACTTCCTAATCCCCAACCTGTAAATTTAACCTTGTCTGGATAAAGGGTCTTTGCAGATATAGTAATTAAGGATCTTAAAATGAGAAGATAGTCCCAGAAGAGGGGGAGGTAACGTGAAGACAGAGACAGAGATTGGAACGATAAGGCCACAAGCCACAGAATGCAGACAGCCACCAAAAGCTGGACGAGGCAAGGGACAGGAGCTCTGGAGGGAGCACAGCCTCACTGACAACCTGATTTCAGACTTCTGGGCTCCAGAACTGTGAGGACATACACTTCTGTCGTTCTAGCCTCCTACTTTGTGGTAATGTATTATGGCACCCACAGGAAACTAATACAAGGAGGTAGATTAAAAACTGACAACGAATAATTCGGGAAGAATACTACATTTCTAAGGCTGGGATGCAGTGACAAAGACAACATCATGGATCCCTACATCCCAAGTCTTTAGCAGAGAATGTGATTTTAAACTCTGCTGGTAGGTCTGTACCCGGAATCCAATTCAGCAAAAATGGCTTGAGAGGCCATTTAAACCATGCATTTGTCTAGATAAATCTAGGTTTTTATAGCTGAAGAAAGCCAGAATACCAGAAGGGTATTGAAGGAACCCTATAAGAAACAACCACAGGTATACAACTGTGTAAAAATTCACTTTACTATATGTATGTTATGCCCCCATAACAAAGTGTAAAAACACACACACACGTGAAACAGAGAAATGGGAACCTCTTCTTGCATATACCAGAAGGCTGCCGTTGAGGCCACTGCACCCTGCAGGAAAAGTCATCAAGAAATTTATTAAAACTTCAGTACCAGGAAATACTTACTTTTCTGAGGAAATGATCTACTTTCTCTGTACAAAAGCACGAATTGTGTAATGTTTTGTGTTTCTCTTGCTGGCACTGGCTACCAAAATTATTGGAGATAATCTGGTAGCTCAACATAAATAACCCCTCAGGTCTTACAGTTTTTCATTAATATTCTGAGCAGAATCTCTGACCTGCATCCCCACCATTCCTAGTTTACCGTGACATCAACATTATGGTTGATATTTATTTGTCTTCAGATTCAGGCTCTTATCAATGTGTCGCTTCTCCAATTAATCAAGTCAATTTTTATAAGCCTCTACAAATACAACAGAAAAGGAGGGAATAAATAAAGATGTAAAACTCACCTGGGCCTTGGGCATTTTCTTCTGTTCTTAGAAAATGACTGGAACTGGGATTCTTCTTTTTTTACTTTTCTAGATTGTCACGCAAATTCTGGTCACAGCTCTCACATCTCAAATTAATGGCATCCCCAGAAGTGACGCTTTCCTGGTTCTGGAACTTCCTTCTCCTTACTTCACTTGATTCTAAGGACTCAAAAGCAAATTCACTTTAATTTGTGCATTCCCCTCAGCCATACACCTTGTTGGTTGGGATTTGATGTTAGAGGATGCCTATATTAGTTTTTTTTTATATAAATTTATTTATTTATTGCGGTGGTGTCCTGCAGTAAAGGTGCTGCAGTAGGCGGAATCATGGCCCTCACAAAGATATCCACGTTCTAATCCCTGGAAGCTGTGAATATGTTACATCACAAGGCAAAGGGGAATTAAGGCTGCTAATGAAATTACAGTTGCTAATCAGATGACCTAAAAATAGATTTCCTGGATTATTCAGGTAGGCCCAACATAATCACAAGGATCCTTATACATGGAAGAAAGCAGAAGAGACCAGAGAGAGATGTGATGTGACAAGAACTCTACACACCATTGTTGGCTTTGGAGATCGGGGGACAGGGAAACAGGAGCCAAGGAGTGTGGGCAGCCTCTAGAAGCTGGAAAAGACGAATAGATTCTCCCCCTAGAGCCTCTAGAAAATAACACACTCCTGCTGAGAGCTTGATTTTAGCCCTGTAAGATCCATGTTGAACTTCTAACCTATAGAACTGTAAGATAATAGACTTGTGTTGTTTAAGCCACTAATTTATGTTACTTTATCACAGAACTAACAGAAAAGTAATATGGGGGCTTCCCTGGTGGCGCAGTGGTTAAGAATCCGCCTGCCAACACAGGGGACATGGGTTCAAGCCCTGGTCTGGAAAGATCCCACATGCCATGGAGCAACTAAGCCCATGCGCCACAACTACTGAGCCTGTGCTCTACAGCCCATGAGCTACAACTATTGAGCCCACATGACTAGAGCCCGTGCTCCACAACAAGAAGAGCCAATGCAATGAGAAGCTCGCGCACCGCAACAAAGAGTAGCCCTCACTCACCGCAACTAGAGAAAGCCCTCACGCAGCAACAAAGACCCATCGCAGCCAAAAATAAATAAATAAATTTATATATATTAAAAAAAAAACTAATATAGGCGTCCTCTAACATCAAATCCCAATACTTAAGAGTTTTCTTTTGTTTAAAAAACCACAACATAGAGCTTCCCTGGTGGCGCAGTGATTGAGAGTCCGCCTGCCGATGCAGGGGACACGGGTTCGTGCCCCGGTCTGGGAAGATCCCACATGCCGCGGAGTGGCTAGGCCCGTAAGCCATGGCCGCTGAGCCTGTGTGTCCGGAGCCTGTGCTCCGCAACGGGAGATGCCACAACAGTGAGAGGCCCGCGTACCACAAAAAAATAAATAAATAAAATAAAATAAAATAAATAAAAATAAAAAATAAAAAACCACAACATCTAGACCTCAAGGCAGAGCAAACATTATAAAGAGTAATGTGTTAAGCAAATCCTAAGCACTTTCTTATTTAATCCTCACCACCAATCTAGAAGTATCAAATCACTAGAACGAAGGACGTCAAGGCTTAAAACCTAGAGATAAAGTATCTTGTCCAGAGTCACATACTTTCTAAGAGGCAGGGCTAGAATTCAAGCCCAGGCCTTTTCTCTCCAAAGCTCATCACCTTAACCATTGTACCTTCTTAACCAGACAACCTCCAAAAGTTTAGTTCTCTGTAGAACTGCCTGCAAAGTTTACTACTTTTCAGACAGTTTCATATCACACCAGAAGGTAGCACATAAGCACAATGCATAAACTGGACTTCTGAAACAGCTCTTAGAACACTCAATGCATACACACAGACAGCAACCTTCTTCCACAAACAGAGAAATGGAAAAGGAGCAAGTTCCAATACTCACTCCAAAGCAGCAAATCAGAGACAAGGAGTCAGAAAGACTCACATTATAAGGTCATTGATTCAGTGGGATTACTGTGAGTTTTTGTTGTCACTCCTTCTGGCCACAAATTTTTCTAAGATAATTTCCCGGTAGCTTTTCTAAACCCCCAAACCCACCGACACCGCCCTGCCCCTACTGCAACTGTTCTTTGACCCCTGAGTACATGCAGTCCCCATCGGTCTCCAGCCTAGAATCACTTTAGGCACCAGGACTAGAGATCTGCACAAGAAAAACGGTATAAAACTATTTATAGGACTATCTAGGACTATAAAACTATAGCTATAAAACTTCATGGGGGAGGAGAACATGAATGCAACATCTTGGCCACATCCCAATTTCATGACTCCTTGTCCATGAGCCCTCATGTCCCTGCTGATGATTTCTTGGCATTGCACCCATTCACTTTATGGAATCACTCGTGTTGCCCTAGAAGGGCCACCTGCCTTTCCAGAAATACACCTATGTGTAAATATAAAAAAAATAAAGCTTTACAGAGCAAAGTAGGCCATAGAAAGAAATTTTCATAAGTTTCACAAGTCAATATCAAAGAGGCTTATTCCTTGACCACAATGCAACACAACTAGAAATCAACAGTAACTAGAAATTCAACACATTAATCAAAATAGAAACAAAATGTAAGGCCAACTGGCCCGAGGCAGGGGAACACAATCAGATTCACAGGTTGCATCAGACCGAAATTCTCCGGACCACCCAGTTCCAGAAAGTGCCCTGGAGACATTCCGGACCACCTAGTTCCAGGAACTGACCTGGGGACTTTGAACCCAGCCCAGCCTTCTCACTTTCGTGGGGCGGGACTAACCGTCCCCCAGGATACCCGAAAAGACCACCAAATAAGGAATACCCTGCACCCTCCCAGATTCACCACACCCCTTTCCCTTCTTCCCCTATAAAATCTTGCCCAACCCTCGCTCGGGAGCGCTCCCTAATAAAGCTCACTTGAAGCTTTCCTCTGTTTCGCGGTGCCGTTTGTTAAGATCCGACCTTACACAAAACCCTGCACATCCAGGAAAAAAACCCAAGAAAAACCTTCAAACTAAAAAGGCAATATAAATGAACACCCTGAATTATTCAGTAGTAAATGGCAACAAATCCTGTGGGTGGGTGAGAGAACCTGGATAAGCATAGAATCATAACATGTTGCAGAAAAGTATAGATATATGTCAAGCCTATCCAAATTAATGTATACGTACATTTAATGGGACTCTAGTAACCTCGTCACTGGTTCACCCACCTGATGTGACACTACTGCAGCCATTAAGAAAATCTGTAATCCTTTTATACTATGGAAGTGTTTATAATTAGAAATGAAGTGATAAAACCAAATTATATCTGTTATACAGGTCATTCCAAATGCAAAGGTAACAAAAAAATATTAAACATACACAATGGTTTGCACTGGAGATCAGCGTTTCGGGTAACAGAGATGTTTTCACTTGTGTAGCATGAACCTGAAAGGAAATATCCAAGAAAACTGTGGAGTAAAGTTGGAGGCAAGAATAATAAAACGTATCTTTTATAACACATCACTAGATCATATCTAACTACATTTTTGTTTGGGAAGACAATGACAAGAGTGTTTATGTGGCAAGACAAAAGAGTTTTTTTTTTTTTTTTGCGGTACGCAGGCCTCTCACTGTTGTGGCCTCTCCCGTTGCGGAGCACAGGCTCCGGACGCGCAGGTTCAGCGGCCATGGCTCACGGGCCCAGCCGCTCCGCGGCATGTGGGATCTTCCCGGACCAGGGCACAAACCTGCGTCCCCTGCATCGGCAGGCGGACTCTCAACCACCGCGCCACCAGGGAAGCCCGACAAGAGAGTTTTTAATTAGCGTCTTGATGAAGGTATGGACTTGAAGGAGCGAACTGGATTTGGATCAGCTGAATGAATCTATCATCAAGTCTGTGCCCCGGAATCGCCATCTGAACCTCAACCTACCTACTCTCCAGGGACCCTGGGTCTCCAAAGCGCCAGCCTCATGCCCCTCCACATACACTAGCCTCCCCCACAAAACAACAACAAAAAAAATGACTCCAAGTTAAACCCGAAATCTGAACCAGAAATCCCCATTCATTAGCACCCGTCCCCCATCCCAGGCTTCTCCACGTATGAGCCCCACAATGAATCACAGACCTGCATGAGACATCGAATTCACTGATCTACACCTACCACTCCAGGTCTTAATCACTGAGCTTCACGAGCAGAAGTTGCTACCAAACCAAACTTGGGTCGGCAAAGCCAATTTACTGGCACCGCATTGGTGTGAAGGAAAGTCCAGCGTTTACTACAGGGCCCAGCAAGGAGACTCAACTCCCTGATAGCTTTCAGGGAAGGGTTTTTTTTTTTTGCGGTACGCGGGCCTCTCACTGTTGCGGCCTCTCCCGCTGCGGAGCGCAGGCTCAGCAGCCATGGCTCACGGGCCCAACCACACCGCGGCATGTGGGATCTTCCCAGACCGGGGCATGAACTCGTGTCCCCTCCGTCGGCAGGCGGACTCTCAACCACTGTGCCACCAGGGAAGCCCTCAGGGGAGGGTTTTTAAAGGCAACATCTGTGGTGAAGGATGCAGGTGAGGGATGACTTTCTTCCGATTGGTTGTTGGTGAGGTAACAGAGTGTTTCAGGAACCTTAATCAACTTTCTGGTTCCAACCAGTCTGAGGTCTACATGCTTATGCTCAGCAAGTAGTCACCATCCTCCACCCTGGAAGGTGTCTTAGTTTCTGCAGAACAACTTAAAGGTATGCATCAGATCGTTATGCACATCCTTTGAGGAGGAACTAGGACTCTGTGAACTATTGTTTCTTGTCTGCTTTTTCCTGTTTCTATATTCCCTCACTTCCCTAATTAGTCTGATCTTTGGAACTCAGGGATACCCCAAGAGACCAAAGCCTTTTTCTACAAACTAGAAATGGGGTGACACAGAAGGGCTTTTGTACCCAAGAGGTACTTCAGGGTCCTGCTCAGTTGCAATCTCCCCCTTTCTTTGATACTCCTCAATCCTGAGGGGAACAAGGGTGAGACAAGAAAAAGAATAAAGTTTGGGATAGAGAGGTTAAATATAAAGTCTGCGGGGGAACTCAAATTTTAGGAGGGCTGGGTTTCAAAATACCCACATCGACAAAAATTCTCAGTCAGAGCCTCGGTCGTTTCTCTCTTCATACATTTAATAACACTGACCGCCAAAAGGCCTATTACTGAAGCGAAGCCTCCCCAGTGACTGAACCTAAAGACACCCCCAGAAGGCCTTTCACTGGCCTCACAGGCCCCTCACTCCGGACCCACGTGCAGACCCCGACCCACCTGCTGCTGAGATTCTCAAGGTTCCCGCCAGCTGCTGAAGACTGAATTCACTTCCAAAATGATTCCCACTCCTCCGCTGTGGCGCCCAAATCCCCTCGCTGGCTGTCGCTAGGGACGCCTCCGGCCCTGCCCGACCTCAGAGCCTTTCGGCGTGTTGGATGGAGTTCGGGCCCCACGACCAGCTCTATGACGTAACGTGGCCACGCCCATCTCAGCGATCGGGGAGGAAACTGTCATGATGGAGGCTACGGCTCAGAGAGGGAAGAATTGAAATCACTTTTGGACACCTCCTTCCCTTTCCCTCCTCGTTGTCGGTCAGAAGCACTAGGCTGAATAATTTTTGAGAGGCTGGGCCCTATCCAAGGCCGTGGCGGCGCGAGCTGGATTCTATTTTGTCTTTTGGGCAAAACGAGAGAGATGGCGGCGCCCGTGAGCCACGACGGAGGAGCACCAAGGGGGCGGCCATCTTACAGGAAGTGCAGTTCCGTTCGGCAGAGACCCGAGGAGCTAGTGTTAGGAGGAAACTTGGGACTGTCAACGAAGTTTGTAGGAGTTGAGACACGTTGTAAAGGCGGCGGTCAGGTCATGGACAAAACACGGAAACTTCGAGTGCTGGTGAAAGTTGGGAAACAGTTAAAGCGGGGATGGGAATGAGTACGGCTGGTCTGAGACCTGTTGAAGGGGCGGGGCCGATGCTGAGAGCGGGGCTCTGTGAACACCGATGCCCATAGGGGCCTGGGAATGTGGCTGCCTCTGGTAGGGAAGGGTGAGGGATGAGGCTTCAAATGTATGCAAATGTTTCCTTAAAAAACGAAGGGCATTTCAGAGTAATTAAATGGTGAGCTGTGCTGTTATATTGTTTGGCATCATTCCCAAATAAAATAAACACACTTAAGAAATATTAGCCACTATTTTATGCAGGCAAAGGAGTAGTAGAGGATATTATCTATATATTCTTTCTAGAGAGCAATTTATTAGAATTATCTATATAATTTAAATTTTTCATTCTCGATGTAGAAATTCCAATGCTAAGAATCTTTGTTAAAAACTTTATATTAACCACGGAAATTTTGGTAAATTTTTTAAAAACTAGGAATAACTTGAATGTACAATCAGCAGGTGAATAGTTTGGTAAATTAAACACATTCCTTCAACAGAACGGTTTATAGCCATTAAAAAGCCAATTATAGAATTACCAGTATTTTTTAAGTGACTTCAAAAGGATGAACAGTATTTATAATATGATCCTCACATGGCAAACATTAATAAATATATGCATTTCAAATTTTTGAATGGATTAAGTAAAACTTACAATTTCGATTATATTTGGGGTTTGGGCTTGGAGATGGACTCTTCACTAAGTACCCACTAAACTCAAAAGATTTTATTAACACAGCATCAAAACATACTGCCTGCTCCAGTCTCACAGCTCCTCAAACTACACAACTCTAAAATGGAAGTCCTTCTCCCTTCCAGACTGAATTTTCCCTTATTCTGTTTCTCATCTAGCAGTCACTATTACACAATAAATTAAGAATAGAGATGTTACCTGGATTGTAGGTTACTGGAGGTTGCTGTGAAAAGGTCAGAGGACGAAGCCAAAACAAAACTTATATGTCGTTGTCACACTGGCCACCAATTCCTGTTATGCTGTCTCAGAAATAACTTCTGAATCACTCCCTGTACTTGCCCTCATTGCTTTAGTCCATTTATCTGAATTACTACTGAATTTGCCACCGCACTGGTCCCTTCTAAGAAGGTGTCTCTCCAGCCACCTCCTTTTTTTCCGTACCACACCATGTTTATTACCATACCCTCCATGAAGCTCTGAATTAGTATACTGATTACAGACTAAAGCAAGATCTCAAGAGAATTCTTTTAAGACTCTATACAAGCAAACATCAAACGGATTCTCCATTATCATCTTCCATTACACCCTGCCTTCCACTTCCCAATGCCCTGTGGTCTCATATGCTACCAGGAATTTGCAAATACTTTCCCTCCATTGAAGTCTTTGGCACACAAGAAACAATGAGAGAATATTAGTTACTATGGCTGTTCTTTCATGAGTCATCTTAGATGTCACTTCTTCGGATAGCATTCTTGGACACCTTCCAGGTCAGTCTCAAAAACAATAATACAGTTATTATTAAATATAAAATTGCAGCTGTATCGTGGTGCTAACGATAGGAAGTATAAAAAGGTATCCAATAGAGAAAACATGTCTATACAAGGGATGACTGAGGATCATTTATCTTTCTAGACCATCATAATATGCTAATTTGACTGCCCTCCAAAATGTACTATGAGTTCCTCAGACAGAAACTCTGTAATATTTTTGTATCCACTGTGCTCAGAACAAAAAGTTGAACAGAAGTTTTCAATAACGGACTATTAAATGAATAACTGAATTTGGCTTGCAAGATACAGTATTCTCTTCGTCAAGGTTCTATGCTGCTCAGTGAAAATTAAATACAGCAAAGGTGCAAGAGAATGTATATATGTGCTGCTTTTTGAAAAAAGGGACAAAAAGTAGTATCTACTTGCTTGTACTGCCAAAAACACACACACACACACTGGAGGGAGACACAATAAAACTTACCTGTGGGAGCCAGAAGGTCAAGGGAAAACAAACTGAGAACAGGGGAAAAGTGAGACTCATCAATGCACCTTTTTATATAGTTTTAAGTTTTGAACCACATGACTCTGTGACCTATTCAAACAATTTCAATCCAATCTTGATGGGGAATACACATCTAAATCCAGGAAAAGTAAAACTACAAGTCTATAAAGGGCTTATAAGGAGAGGAACATAGTTCTATGGAGGGCCAGAAATTGGGGAACCTGGCCAAGTGAGGGAAAGCTTCACTGAAGAAGTGATTGTTGAAGATGATGAAGAATGAAGGAGGGACCCAGAAGATAAGAGGAAAGAAAGGAAAGTCCTCCCTCACTAGGACTAATGATAATACTGTTATTCATTGCATTTGGCAGGCACTATTTTAACTACATCTACTTCTCACAACAAACCTACACAGGCAGATATTAAAGATAAACTGAGGTGAGTTGAGTAACTTGCTCAGAGGCACACAGCTCACAGCTGGCACGGCAGGATTCAAATCAGGCAGTATGCGACTTCCCTGGTGGTGCAGTGGTTAAGAATCCGCCTGCCAATGCAGGAAACACAGGTTCAAGTCCTGGGCCGGGAAGATCCCACATGCCACGGAGCAATGAAGCCCGTGCACCACAACTACTGAGCCTGTGCTCTAGAGCCTGGAGCCACAACTACTGAGCCCGCATGCCTGGAGCCTGTGCCCGCAACAAGAGAAGCCACCGCAATGAGAAGCTTGCATACCGCAACAAAGAGTAGCCCCCGATCGCCACAACTAGAGAAAGCCCGGGCACAGCAACAAAGACCAAATGCAGTCAAAAATAAATAAATAAATTTCTTTTTAAAAAATCAGGCAGTATGACTTCATTGCCCACTCCTAACCACTGTTTGAGGTGAAGGATGATCTGGGTGTGGAAGCAGGCTTAGGCATGCACTGGGCCTCCTTTACCTGGGGATGCCAAGTTCTGAAAGGTAAGCTCAGCACGTGGCCCTCAAAGCTCAGGGCAGCCCAGCCAGCCCATCCCAGGCCCCAACTGATCAGTTCCAGGAGTGAGCCCGCCTGACCATGCCTTGGCTGGAAGTGGAGAGTCACAGGAGAGGAAGTGGAGGGGAGCTGAGGGTCAGGTTGCTGGAACACTCGTGACTGATTCTTTGCTGGAGACTCTCTGTCCTGAATCCATCCCATTATAATGTGAGGGTGGTGATGGGGACCGTAGCCCAGGATTTAGGACAAATATGTTCAAAATTAGGTGTGCATCAGGCCCTTGTTAAAAATGCAGAGTCCGGGACTCCAGCCCCAGAGGTTCTGGTTTAGGAGGTGTGGGGTGTGACTCAGGAATTGCATTAAGTTTCTCAGAGAATCTGAGGCAGGAAGTTTGTCATAGACAATTATTACAAACAGTCCTGGAATGTTCTCTGGTTACAAATATTCTGAAGGGTGAGTCCCCTCAGTACTTCGATTTTGGCTCAAATTATATCCAGAAAAGCCTTTCATTGGGGAGGGGGAAATCTCCCTCATTACTACCTACAGATTACTATAAATTACTATCTATTATTAGACTTCATTTCTCCTCATAGGATTTATCACTTCCTGACATTTTGTAATCTCACCATCTCTCTCCTTTACTAGATTATATGGTCCATCATAAAGGCTGTTCCTTTGCCTGTTCTGCTCACTGATGTTTTCTCACTGTGTAAAACAGTGATTTGCACAGTGATGGTGCTTTAAAACGTTTCTGGAGGAGTAAATTACCCAGACCCAGGATTTTGGTTGAATTCTGAGTGGGCCACAGCACGGCAAATTTCCATGTCTTTTATGCGTAGGACTGTTTGTAATTGGGATCTTATATCCTCATGGGATCATGGGAAAGAACTCTGGATAAAGGAGAAAGCAAAGACCCCACTTTGAGGACAGCCGGAAGGAATGAGGGAGATAGAAGACACCTGTCTCAATTCAGCAGGTCACAGAGGAGCCAGGATCTTTAAATGGCAACTCTTCACAGGTGTTAGGCCTGTGGACAAATCTCAGGATTCATTTCCAAGACATTCCAAGATCTCACCTCCTCCCACTCCCTATACACTCCACCATTCTTAAAGACTAAGGCTCTCATTTTGCATTTGTTCTATTTATTCTAGGAATCATTTTCCTTTTCTGCTTTGTCCCTTTATAATCAGTTAAGTCTCTCTAACCTCAAACAGTTTGGGGTGTCAATTTTGGTCTTTAGAACTGTCCCTTGAGTGACAGAATACATTTTGATTAGCCCATTAGTTTATTCATTCACTTTCCAAATCTGGAGCTGATAAGAATTATTTTTCCCCCCTCTGTGCTGGGAAACCGAAAATCATGGAAACCAGCACTCTCCAATATAACTTTCTGGTACAATGGAAATGACGGTAGAGCACCTTCCCATTGTCTCACCACTTTGCTGTCTGTGCTGTCCAATTCTATTGCCACGAGTCACATGACTGTCGAGCACTTGAAATGTGACTAGTGTAACTGAAGAACTGATATTTCATCTTATTGGTTTTCAATTTTTTTAAACATTAAAATTTAAAGAAAGCCACTAAAATTAAGGAATTTGTAATTTCCTCGTGGAGATAACAAATAGGCATTAAAAAAAAACAAACTTATTTGGGGAATTCCCTGGTGATCCAGTGGTTAGGACTCCGCACTTTCACTGCTGAGGGCCCTGGTTCAATCCCTGTTTAGGGAACTAAGATCCCACAAGCCGTGTGATGTGGCCAAATAAATACATAAACAAAAATAAAAAATAACTTACTTGAAACAACGAGATCCTACTGTATAGCACAGGGGACTATACTCATTATTCTGCGATAAACCATAATGAAAAAAATATGAAAAAGAATATATATACATACATATAACTGAGTCACTTTGCTGTACAGCAGAAATTAACATTGTACATCAACTATACTTCAATAAAATAAATTAAAGAAAAAACTTATTTGTGTTCTATGGTGCTTAAATACCATTATTAACTCCTTCCCCAACTCCCAAATGATATGCTCCTTCAACAACAAATTGTCATATTCCCTTGAGCCAGTTACTCCAGGTCCATTTCACTTACTATGGATACTTACATCCTCTCACTAAATTAGCTTGAGTGTAGAGATGCCACTTAAAGATAATCCGACTACCTCAATGGTCTCTCTAGGGAACCATGAGCTTTCTCTATTCTGATCACCACAATATCCTCAGCTTTTGGAACAGAACCATATACCAAGGATGTATTTGACAAATACTCTGTGAAAGACCAAACTGACTCAGTCTAAGGCCGTTGTTTCATTAGTCCATCTGCATAATATAAACTTCTGAAAGTTTAAGGAAGACATCCCAGTTTCAGATTCATTGTTCACCTTGGCCTGGGGAAACTGAATTGATATATATACGCCCCATATCCCACCAATCCAATATTAGCCCTCTGGTGATTTTTCCTCCATAGCAACCTTCCAGAAACAAATTATATGTTTTAAAAATTCACCTCCTTATTTCCTCCACTTAGTTGAACACAGGCTTCCTTCATTTATTTAACTGACACAACAGAGCAACTGACGTTTGTGTGTTTGGGTTAACATCAGATTATGCCTCTGTATCAAGGCATATATGTAATTGGATGAGTAGGTCACGTGCTCCCAGTCTCAGCATTTATACAGTTTCTCTCAGTGTATACTTTTCAGCCACCATATGAACTAGAAATTTTCACTCAACCCTTTTCCTCAGAGAATGTCTTAATTTTTTTCCTACTGGTTTTCTGTGACATAAAATAAAATATAATTGACCACTGAAGGCACAACCACATTCACTGCATTCATAAGGGTTCTCTCCTGTGCCAACCCTCTGCTTTCTCCTGCGGGTGCACATCTGGCCACAGGCTGTCCCACTATGACTACATTCCTGTTTGCTAGGAGCCCACTGATGTTGACTGATGTCTGAGGGACCACAGAAGGTACTTGCATTGTCACTGTATTCAGGTTTTTCTCTTGGAGGACAACACTACTCTGTGAGGACCTGTGACCCTCTGAGGGAGGATTTTCCACCTTGACTGAGTGAGTTTTCTGATGTTTATTGAGGACTGACTTCCCTCTGAATGATTTCCCACATTCACTACATCTATAGGGTTTCTCCCCTGTATGGATTCTCTGATGGATAACGAGCTGCGGCTTCTCGATAAAGCCTTTCCCACAATCGCTGCATTCAAAGGGTTTCTCTCCTGTGTGAGTCCTTTGGTGTTTAATGAGACCTGTCTTCTGGGAAAGGGTTTTTCCACATTCCCCGCACACAAAGGGAGTCGTTCCTGTGTGAAATCTCTGGTGTGCTGTGAGGCACGTCTTTTGGCTGAAGCCTTTTCCACATTCATTGCATATATAAGGTTTCTCGCCTGTGTGAATCCGTTGATGCACCATAAGATTTCCCTTCTGGATGAAGCCCTTTCCGCATTCACTGCATATAAATGGTTTCTCCCCAGTATGGGTTTTCTGATGGACACTGAGCCCTGATTTCTTGAGGAAGGCTTTGCCACATTCATTGCATTCATAAGGTTTCTCTCCTGTATGCGTTCTCTGATGTTCAGTGAGCTTGAACTTTCTGAAGAAGGCTTTCCCACATAGATTACATCGATGGGGCTTCTCTCCTGTATGAAGATTCTGGTGATCAGTGAGCCAAGACTTTTTGATGAAAGCTTTCCCACATTCACCACATACATGAGATTTCTTTATTTTTTGAGTCTTCTGATGCTTGATGAATTGGGAATTAGTACTGATGAGTTTTTGGCTTTTGGGGAATTTAATTTCAGTATGAAACCGTTCATTGTCAGCATGGAGACAGGATCTGACTTCTCCAGTAAACTCAGCAGGGCTCTTTATTTCATAGCTCCTGCTCTCGGAAAGTAAAGTTAAATTTGATTTCATACTTTTTCCATGTAAGTCAAACATACCATGATTTTGCCTGAACAGAAAATGAGTTCTGCTCCGATGAACAGAATATTCCAGTGGGTTCTGTTCATGCCATTGTTCTAGTCTCTTCTCCATGCTCTCATTTTGTAAGTGCTCCAGCAGGTGATTATCAACTTTCCAGACTTCTAGGAAAGAGAAGAAGAATGAATTCCTCCATCTTTCAGATTTGGAATAAAGGTATTTTTAAAAATACTTTGATGTGAGGTGTCTTTTTAGTGATGACCCTATGGTATGAATGTTAATAAAACTCCATGTTTAATGATCTTTATACATTGGAAAAAAACAGTCATAATGAATAAATACAGATTTGGTTACTTTCTAAATACCGTAAAATACGAGCAATTTCCTGTGAGCAGGAGACCACAGGTTGCAGGGCCACCTCATCCAAACTGGGGAGGGATGGACTCATTCATTCCACAGATCCTTACTGATCACCTCTGTGTACCAGGAATGGTGCTAGTGTTGGGGATTTGCAAACATACTCCTCGTGTTCAAGGAGCGTATACTGTAGGTGGGTAAAACCACTTTACAGGGCAGAGATAGACACAAGGAAAACAGCTGCAGGTTGGAAAACCTGGCGGGAAGGAACGATGGAGAGGAAGAGAGGTGGAGGAAACCAGGGCTCATTCTGGAGGAAGACAGGC